TGACTGAGTGCAGTTTGTTGTGAAATCACACGCGTGATTTCAAAATTGAACGAGTGACGACTGATGAAAGTGAAATACGAATGAAATAATAATAATGTTCGTAACAAAAACTGCATTGATTATTAAAAGCTAACCGTAGCTTTAGGTTGTGGTAACTTATAGAAAGTTTTTTTTCTTCTTTTCAGATGTTCAATTGCACTTAATAAAAGATATTTTCGATCGAACTTATCAATGTGTCTCTTGTTTGTTTGTCACACCGATAACTATCCATTACGTGAGATCCTCCTTCTCCAATCAAAACTTATGGCAAATAACAACCGTCTTGAGAAACTTTAAAAACAGGGAGCCTCGGAACGTAGAGTAAAATCAAGTTGCTGCCAATAACAGGGACTTTTTCTTATACAGCGTATGGCAAGCTGCCGATCAGTTGAGGCAAGCAAATAGTGGGCAAGCGAAATTGGCGAAAGTATAACGACATCTTCACCCAAAAACAGCTACGCGTCTTGCTTGAGGTACTTGAGAACGAGGTGCCTGAGGTGCTTGAGAGTGAGTTGTGTGCCATGAATCAGCGGTTATTGCGCGTAACGGCTAACGTAAAATTAGACTTCTCTTCGTTCGAGCGTTTCCTTGCGAGAATTCATAGACTAGAAAATAAGTATTTGTCTCTGCGAGAATAGTTGGAAAATAACATGGCTACTTGCCACCGACCCCGCGACATACACTGTTGTCCAACAAGAAGAAACGAGGAACTTAAATTCCACGAAAATCGAAAGCTTGTATTTGCCACCACGCAATTATTTTGCATTCGCAAAAGTGGATTTCAAAGAATTTCAAACGTTTTCTCAGACCCATTTACGCTCAGGTAAATGGGTCTGAGGGTTGATTTTAATAAATGAGAATAAACTTGTCAGTATTAATTTCGGACAATTTTACCCTTCACTCGAATCAACCCTAACCAATACAGGTTACTAGCAAATCAAACCAAAAAAAACCTGGAGCCTTAAACACTGAAATATTTTTTGTTTTGTTGTTGTTGTGATGGAGAATTTTACTGTTTGGTCTATTTCAGGTTTCGCTGGTTAAAGGTACATTCAACTACAGTGCGTAGTATCTTCAACCTTTGCTTATAAAAATCTTTTTCACGACTATTGGTGTTTTGCCTCGCTAAAAGGATTTAGGATAAAATTCCTTGAGAGATCTGAGGTGTTCTTTTTGAGATGAGCCTATAAATCGGTTAAATATTTATCGTTGAAAAAGACTATTATTCCTATTTCCAATTTTTGGTGATACATTCATGATTTCCGTCACGAATATAGAACAGGGTTCCACACCATCTTAAAAAAAATTAACACTTATTCCTTAATAGAATCGAGAGATTCGTGTAGTAGGTGTGGTAGGAGTAATTTGTAGTATTGGAGGAAGTTAGGTGTAGCAGGTGAGGTAGGTGCAGTTTTGTGTTGTAGGTTTAGTTTGGTATTGTAGGTGTACTTTGTTGAAGAAATGTAAAATGGTTTCCTTGTTTACATAGCCTGATGTAAACACGCGGGAGGTTGGACCAAGTGTTTACATCAGGCTATGTAAACACGGAAACCATTTTACATTTCTTTTATAAAATAACTAATGAAAGAGGAACGAAAACCGTGTTTATATACGCTCGTGTAAAATGGTTTTATGGCCAATCAGAGCGCGCGTACTATTTGAATTATTTTATAAAGTAGTTTGGTGTAGAGCATGCAGTTTGATTTAGTAGGTGTAGTTGGGTATTAGTTGTTGTAAGTGGTTTGTTGTAGTATGTGTAGAAGGTTTAGTTTGGTGTAGTGCGTGTAGTTTGGTGTAGCAGATGTAGTTTAGTGTAGTAGATGTAGTCTGGTGTAGTAGATATTGTTTGGTGGACTTCGGTGTAGTAGATTTAGTTTAGGGTAGTAGGTGAAGTTTTGTAAAGTTTGGTGTAATACGTGCAGGTTGATGTAGTTTCGTGTAGTTTCGTGCAGAAGAGAAGACTACTGTGGTGGGTGTCGTAGATGTAGTTCGGTGTTACCTACTACAAGTAAGAAGAGTTTGGTGCAATCAATAAAGCGCACAGTATTGCCAAGTGTTTTTACATGCACCTTTACAAGCGTGCGAAACAAAATCCTCCATCTCCAACGAGAAGGAACATCTGTCATCTGTTCTTGTTACTGATGGTTTTTCTTCCTCTTCCATGCAGAGTAACAAAAACTACGACACAAACCGCCATTACTGAACCCCCCACCGAGTTCAGATCCACCGCAGACCTGCCCTACGTCAAAGACCTCTCTGAACAACTTCGCCTCTGTTAACAACAACTGTTTCCAAGCCAGCTACGATAACACCTAATACGCCCGAAGGATAACGTCGACGCTGCTAAACAGGATGGCGTAGTCTACAGGATTCCCTGTGAGTGCGCAAAGGTTTACAACGGCCAAACAGGTAGACCTATGCAGGAGAGAATCAAGGAACACGACAGGGATATCCTACTCCCTAAGACGCTGACCTTTGCCGTTTCAGAGCACAACCTTAAAACCGAACACACCTGCTCTATAAAGACTAAAGTTAATTGATCGTGATGCCCATTTCTACACACGCAGGGTAAAAGAGGCAATTCACATCAGACTTCACCTTAACAACATTAACAAGGACAAGGGAATTGAGTCTCAGAAGCCAGAAGCCCGATCACAAAACACAACAGCAGGAGGGCCGTGCGGCAGCTGACCATAGAGAGAAACTGATCCAAAAATTGCACCAATCACTGCCATCGAATTCCATCCAAACTCGTTACCCAACATGTTAACAGTATTACAAGCTTCTGGACTAACGGTATTTTTCAGGGATCTTAAAACACCTAAAACTGAGTTAATTAAATGGCGCGTTTCCCTCTCTTTAATTTTTCGACGAAATTTACATTCAAAACAAAAAACAAGAGTTTCAAATTTGTTTTACAATAAAAAAAGATACAACAATGAGAGAGCAAAGGAAGCCCAGGCATTAAAAACTTGCTCTTTTTCAGCCTCGTTTCCATGTCCTAGAGGGGCTCCAAATAGCTGTTAGCCGTAATTTCCTACGCAAAACAAATTTCAATCCTGAAATATTCATTTCGTGATAAAAACCCTGAACCAAGTTTACAAGCAAAATTTGAGCCAAATCTGTGAACGAGCCTGTCTCATTAGCCTCTCGTTTTACAATTGGGTAATTGGTTTAAACAGTGCCCTCAAAATATGTCGCAA